CTGGCTCCCGGCAGCCCCCGCTGCCCCCTATATAACCGGCGTCCGCGCGGCCGGGCGCCCACAGTGAGCGGCCCCCGCCAGCGGCGCCGGATCTTGTGCAACCCTTCGCCACCCGCTCTAAGTGACCGGAATCGCTTCGCCCACCGCCACCATCGCCATGCCCGGGTATTCCAGCGACAGGGATAGAGGGTGAGTCCGGGGGCACGGCCGGCGCCAGCCGCCGCCAGCGTCCGGACTCTGAGCCTGCCCGTGGGGCTCTCGGGGTTGTTTTTCAGACGTTTAAGATGGCGGCGGGGCGGGGGTTGGGCCCTGAGCCCTTCCCTTAGCGCTCTTGCCGCGAGGGCTGGCTGGGTGGAGGGTATGGGGCTTTTTTAGGCCACTGATTGTGGACGCCTGTATCGGTTCCTTCGCCTCAGAGCACCCCCCCGCGGGTGTGCGATCGCTGAGAACAGCGCGGGGGAATTTTAATTTTTTTTTTAATTTTTTTTTTTTTTTCTTGTTGGGGAAAAGGCCCTCACCCCCCTGGGGACGCCCCCCCATCCCGGACGGTCCCTGCAGACCCGTTCCCCCCCCCGATGAGAGCGGCGGGCGGGCTGCAGGTTTGTGGGTCAGTGGGTTGGCGGTGCTGAAGCCTTGGGGAGCTCTCGGCAGGGCGGTTCCCCTCCCTCCCTTCCCCCTCCCAAGGCTCGGGCTGTGGCCAGCAGGAGCCGGCCGGCTCCGCTTTGTGTTGTGTAAGCGGATGTTAATGGCCGGCCCCGCCATGCGGCGGCTGAGGGGAATCAAAATGCCGGCTGTGCTGCTGCTGCCTTTGTTCCTCCTCCCCCCCGCCCAACCCCGGCTCTAAAATGGCAGCGGCTGGAAAATGTGGCGTAGACAGAAATGAGAGACAAAGGAAACAGCGCTGGCAGGAAGCAGCGGCCGCTCGGGAAGTGCTGTGTTGTGCCGGGAGGGATCGTTCGCAGCGCCCGCCCGGCCAAAATTGGGAAGCGATCGGGGCGGGGGAAGGAGCCCCGTGCTCGGATCCAGCGCACGGATCAGCGCGGCTCCGAGCTGCGCATCGGGGCTTTAGAGATCCTCCTCCGAAAGGAGGGACCGAACCTGGAATGCTAATAAAGCGCATGGCCTCGTAAAATATCGTTGTTAAAATAAGTATGTCTTTTGGGACATTAAAAAAAAAAGGGTTTACGGGAAAGTTATCCCAAGGTTTCATAACTGCCCCTGTCTGCCTTCAGAAATAGGTGTGTCACTGGGACGGGAAACCATTATGATCACGGGGTAGTGCCAAGGTTTTAATGCCTTACTTTGCTTGTTGTAACTTGCTGTTCGATTGCATTTGTATGGCTATGGGAAAGACACGTTATTTTAGCTTGTGAATAAGAATTGTGGCCGGGCAGATGGTGGTATCTACAGCTTAAAGTACGGTTTTTGAAGTTCAGTGTCCTGAAGTAGAGTTTATACACTTGAATTCTAAAGTCCACCATTGCAGCTAGGGTGCAGAGATGGTGGTGAAGTTGTTCAGGAAGAGGGCCAAAAAGTTTCTCTTGCATTATATGTTATGTTCTTTTTCCCCAGGTTTGGAGCCCCTCGTTTTGGAGGAAGTAGAGGTGGACCTCTCTCTGGGAAGAAATTTGGAAACCCTGGGGAGAAACTTACAAAAAAGAAATGGAACTTGGATGAGCTGCCCAAATTTGAGAAGAACTTTTACCAAGAACATCCGGATGTAGTTAGACGTACTG